TTATAATCATCCAAAGACCTTAATATAGTAAACTGATTTTGTAGCGCTAACATTCTGAAGTCAAAACCAAGGGCAGGGACAATTATTTAGAACAAATGACTTAAAATTCACACAGATCTGGGCACCTGGGTGGCTGAGTCAGTTAAGCGTCTGCCTTCGGCTCAGGTCATGCTCTCAGGGTCCTGGGATCGAGTCCCGCGTCGGGCTCCCTGCTCAACAAGGAGTCTGCTTCTCCCTCTCACTCTCCCTTTGTGCGCTCCTGATCTTTCTCTCTCTCAAATAAATAAGTAAAATCTTTAAAAAAAAATTCACATAGATGTAGTACTGTTTTTTAGACCGTAAATTTTAAGTTAAAGAATGAGAAGGAAAGGAAAGGAGTGCAGCGTAGAAGCTTATTCTAGTTTAATAATTATAAGGCCTCTGGCTCTATGTTGGAAGTACTTCTGATTTCTGAATACGTAATGCCCCCAAATTCTTTGGAACTTACCTGTATTTTAACAGGATGAATTTCCTATCTTTCAGTCAAACAAATGTATAGATATTTTATGAATAGGGCCCTTAGTAAATAGTAAAATGCACAAACCAATATTCAGTCTCAGACTAGATTTCTTTTTTAGCTCCATCTTCATATACTAGAGATGCTGACTTTAGTGAATGAATACACGTTAACGTGTCTGTTTTATATTGATGACTTCAAAAAGCTAGACAGAACAATAAATATTTCATCTTACATGGATGCAATATTTAGTAATAAACACTACTTATGTTTACAGTCTTACATCACAGTAGTCCTAAATAATTTAAAGAACAAATTTAAAAAGAACATTTAAAGAATATGTGATTTTTTTCTAAAGGAGATAATCTCTTGGTCTAAATTTAGAATAACAAGTTTATATTTTAAACAATAAGATATCCAGCAATTACCAGTATGATATCAAAAGCAATAAAGGTAGACTGTGACATCATCTCACATTTGAAAAGAAAAAAGATGCTGAAGTTCAATGAGTTTAAGAACATTAGGCAGTGTGGGGTTGTATTTAAGACCACACATAAGCTTTGGAGCCAGGCAGGACTCATTTTAAGTCCCAGATCTACCACTTCTTAAGTATGTAACCCTGTAAAAGTGACCTCTCTGAGTTTGTTTCCTCATCCATATATCTGGAAAAATATCAGTATCTACTTCAAAATGTTGTCAGAGTCAAGTGTAAAAAGTGCTTGGTACATAGTAAATTGTCAATGAATGTTACTTTCAATCTCTCTTCCCCTTCTCTATTTTTATTTTTTTCCACAGGATTTTTTTCTTTGTTTCTTTCTTTCTTTCTTTTTTTTTTTTTTTTTACAAATTACATGTAAATTTTACAAGAAATATAACAAATACAGTTAACACACCCATGTGAATCCACATATCGTTGCTGCTTTTGTTGTAAGCAGCTGAATCTGTCAACTGTTCTGCTGATCTACTATCAACCAGTCTCTTTTTGACAATGTCAGTGACTTCTGACCCTTTATCACTGTTATATGGATAGTGTGTCCATCCTGCATTAAACAAGAGGCAGGATACTGCAGTATGACCCTCAGAAGAATTTAGTGACTTTCTTAAAGGGATCCATGCAGGTTTGTGAATGGAATCTTTCCAAAATTCTTTTTAACTGCAATTAGGGGTAGACTGTTTTAAAATGCAACATTTAGGGGACATATAGCTTCCTCGTCACTCAGAATGCCATCCTTTATCATGATAAAAACTATATAAAGATAATTAAGTCAAAAAAGATTATAAGTCATCTAAAATTCTTCCTATATAACTCAGTTTTTAGTGAGATTTACTCTATAATTATGACCTATTTAATATTGTAAGGAAAACAAGAACATATTACTTACAAATAATGACTATATATCTAAATAAACATTTAAGTTATAATACTAAAAACAAAAGTAGATTGTACAAACAAAAGCAAACACACGTATACAGTAATATTCGTGTAATGCTGAAATTATATTCTAGAAACAATCAATGCCATTCTTTTTACTGTAAAGAAAATACCATTATTGTTGTTAAAACAGATTTTAATAGAGTATTACAAAACCTGAAGCAATTCCAATGAAAAAGAATGAAAAATTACATTTCCTATGCACACTGTACTGCAGTATAAAAAAATTACATGAAATAGGTTTTAATATTTTTTCTACATAAAAATAATATTAATCTGTGAAAATGGCTCATATAGCTTTGATGTGTAATTGAAAACATTTGGTTAAAGGAAAAAATCTGATGAACCCTAAGACAGAATGCTGAGTAAAACGGAGTATGTGTGTCGACCAAGGCACACTGGCATTACTTTGTAGAGCCAATCAATAGATATTAGCTTTAAAAAGAAAGATATAGAAAGAAGCTGCCGCATATTTTTTTTAAATGACAGGGTGAAGGTTTAAATTGTCTCAATCAAGACTCAATTTTTTCTTCCCAGTTTTTCCAGCTGTTCTCTTCCAGTTAAGACTCTTCATTTCCAATAAATTTAATTAGTTCCAATTGATCATAGCTAACAGTTACATAGCTTTATCCATGCTTCTCTCCTTTTATAAGGCAAACACTAACAAAGCCTGCTAGGCTCAGATCAGTGTCATAAGACAACATTCACACCTCATGCTTTCTCACCCAAAAAGAAAAATTTCAAAAATAATTATTCTGTCTAAAGCACTAAATTATACTTCAAATTTAATTGGTATCTTGGTTAACTGTTTAATTAAGATAACTGAAGAATTAAGTCCCAAACTGCTACAAATACAAAATTAATATAACTATGCATATTAGCCTAACCAGAACTTCCAAATAAGAGTTCATTCAAAATACAGGCAAATATGCCTGCCATAATATAATTTCTATTTATTTTTTCAGAAGATATTAATGGAGCAATTCTTTTTACGTAACCAACAAAACCCCAGATTTTTCAAAGTGAATGGCTGAACTGGCCAGCTTTCCCTTCTGTAGAACTGGTGCTCTACAGTGGTGGTTATCCCAAAATAAGATTATTGTGCCTGAAACATGGTTTTTCTCAATGCATCTACCATATTTTTCATAATGTAATTTATATAGAATTCTAGTCAATAAAAAGAAATATGGGTTTCTTCTAAACCCTCATAAAAATCTATACCACATCTTAATCAAGTCACACAATTCAAAGGTAACCTAAACGATCTACAGACTGCAGCATGCTAGTTGCTTTGACAACATGTTAAGGAAGCCTTTTTTAGTTATTTAAATTCTCTGAACATTCTTGCCTCTAGTACCCATGCCATGAAATGAGTAAATCAACTGATCAAAGCCATTCATCACATATGTTTAACTTAACCTTGTACAGATTAAAATATAGTCTACACAGCATTGACTCTCCAAACTAGATTTTCATTTTTAAGCTTCTTGATTTTTTTTTTAACAATAAAATAAAAGCACAGTCATGTGCTATTTGCAGTCTCATGACTTTGTGGTAGAGTGCATAACTCAAAATTTCAATGTACAGATTTAATAATGCTTACTTGAGTGCTCAAAAATTTAGCTTTTATTCCAGAATGCAAATTGAGTTATTCTACTGTTACAAAGGCAACTTCTTTTCCTCTATGAATTAAACCACTACATTTTATAGACTAGAGGGCGTTTAAAATTAATAGGGAATTAAAACATACTATAACATTTAAAAAGCATTGAAAATGGAATAAAGAATGAGTTAAAAAAGATCCGCAAGTAAAAGAATTTCCTTTAGTAGCTACTGACACAATTTCATAATTGTGAAATGACTTTCAGAAAAGTTGGAAATTTCTGGAATCATTTATATTTATACTTAAGTTGAAATTTTTTTAAATCAATGAACTGACACCTTAAAAGGATTAAAAAGTAGCAAGTACTAGGCAGCACCATTTTTACTGGAAACCAGATACTCTCCACTTGACTCAGCAAGTTATTTGCAGCAGTAGCACAAGGCTCTAGGTTTTTGATTACATGCCTTGTAAATTTTCAAGGGAGATCATTAGGCTTCCTCAACTTCCTTCCAATGAAAAACAGTAAAGAACCTGCCACACAGAGCTTTAGAAGAAAAAAAATCTTTCTTTAATTTTTTTTCTTCCTTTAAATTTTTGTTGAAAATTGTCCTGATGTTTTCTGGGCATGCTTCTTTTCGAATTATTGATTACTATTAAGTTACTATTTGTTGCTTCACAATAATTATAGATTTATATGGTCAGATTTTTTTAATAACCATCCATACAAAAAAGTTTATCATTCTTAATACCAATAAAAATATTTATAGTGGGTTGTTCTTAATCCTCTGTACATTAAAAGAAATTGAGCTGAATGCATTTGGAGATCCAGTAACTGAAACTGATTTAAATCTACAAAAAGATAGGCAGAACATATGTGAACACAAAACATAAAGAATATGGAACATATGTGGTATATGGCTTTCTTAAATTTTACTTTATGCCTTTATTTATGTAAGAAATAATACAGGTAAGAATGGTCAATATCTACACAATGTAAATAACTTTAAAAAGCAGCACCTGCTCGTATACTATAGGTACAGAGAATATCTGTAAGTTTCTTTACACAGCCTATATTGCATATATTGCCACTAGGACTTCAGTATTTTGCAGTTTACCCTATAATTGCAAAACCTTTTATAACATAATAGGTGTATTCCTCTACATGTTTCAAGGCTTTTTATAATGATCCTAGCCTCTGAATTAGAAGGTCTCCAGGAAATCAAATGCACAGCCAGCAGGTTCATTGTTATAGCAACAATAAGCAAACCTAGACCAAATAAACGGTTCTGCTTCTTTCTACTTCAAGATCAAAAAGGACACTAAAGAGTCTCATAAAACTAAACGCTCCATCAATACAAGTTTCCACCTTTTCCACCAACATATTTAATCCCCTTATAAATGATCTAAAAGCATTTTCCAATTTTGGACAAAGAAGTTCAGCCAGATTATGTTACGATGTCCCTGCTTACCAGCTGTGATGTCATCATCTGCAAGGTCATGCTCTTCCTCCTGGACTTTGGCTTCTGGCCCCAAGGCATCAGGAGCAGTGCTGACAGTCTGCACGGCGTCCGCTGAGACTCCCGCTGGGAACAGATGGAATCACAAGGTCTAGTTTTAAAAAAACTAAGAGAAAGGTGGAACAAAACTCTTAAACTTTTCAATTTACTTACTGGATACAAATGCAATATATGAAAAAAATACAATATGTTCCCCACAATTAGGTTGAGACAGAAATTAATGAACAAAATCTTCAGGTGTGCTCTACTTCCTTATATGTATATATGCACATGGGTACAAACCTTACTAACTCCACCTAAGATCTGGGAAAAACAGAAGAAGGGTGCTTCGGTAAACTACATTCTTGCTTGATTCCTGTCAGCACTTTTGCTTCAGTTACTTTAGGTGATCTAGACATAATTATGATGCACAGAGGAAGAAAAGAACTAAAAAAGTGCAGGACCATTTTAAAAGTTACTTCTTTTTAATACTGATTAGCTTATAATTTGGGGGCTGGAAGGAAGGATGGTGACAATGCTCTGGGTCTCTGTAAGAGACCTGAAAGGCACTGCCCCACAGTGGATACTATCTCTTGTCTATGGAGGAATTAGATAGGAGATCTGGTAATTATCACACTGAAAGAACCTAACTGAAGCAGATGGCTGCTCTAGATCAGGGGCCAGAAGTTTCCATTCTATAAATCATCTGGAAACTTGCCAACTGAAACACATATGTCTGTTCCTTATACACTATTTCCCCACCCTTGAAGATATATTTTGTTGTCCACTACATTATTTCTAATTTGGTAATGGATAGTACGGCGTCTCAATATTTTTCATATGGTTATCAACAGGTATTACTAAATCACAAAATACAGAAATTTCACCAATGGAAGTTACTTTAGAAACTGAACCGTCTAATCAATCTTTTAAATAAGTACTTCAATAACTGCATTCATAGTATCCATAGAAATATTTTAAAAATCAAAAGCTATAAACATTCAGGACTTCTTTTTTTCCCGAGGGTGTATTAACTTAAACATTTCTATGTGAAATTCAATCTTGCTGCCTCAGGTTTACCAAAGTAATCAAGAGAGGAAAATCTTAGTCTTGAACCACCTGAATGACCCAGAACTGGATTTACCAGTAGACAGTTCCAAGGCCTAATGACTTCAAATTGGGAAGGAGGACACACCATGTAAGTACCACTACTTTGTTCAGAATTGCTCCAACAAAAAAATGAGCAGTGCTAAATTCAATGGTCTCTGATGAATGCCAAATGATGCCATCCCTCTGCAGTATCATGTTGTTGTTAGGTTTTCAAGATAAAACTTTAAAAAAGGGAGGGAGATTACTACAAAAATACTATGAAGTTAATTACTGAATTAAAAATGGCTTTCAGTAAAATAATCACAAGGGGGAGGAAATTAGGTAAATGCCATATTTCTAAGGATTTATTGCTTAAACACAAAATCAAAGATTATGTCCTATCAAATCAAAATATAAATCTCTGAAATCTCTTGGTCTTGTTTCTTAATACCTGATAATTTTGAAAACGATCAGAGAAATGGGGAAAAGATATTAAGGAACAGTTTAGATAGTACCAACTTTTATTGGTATTTTCCTTTCCTATAAAATTAAAGGATTCAGTAAAAATAAAGCTAGTATTTATGTAGTAACAAGTTTATAAATCCATTTAAATTCATCTCATTGAATCAGAGAGGTTAAGTAACTGTTCAACATAACACAGCTACTAAGAACCAGTACTGACACATAGGTCTTCTGATTTCAAACTCCAATATCCTTTTCACCATGAAGTTCTTCCAGGTAATGGGTTGCTCAGGGCAGGGTAGGACTCTCATGGACTCTCACAATCCTGAGTATCAACGCTGTCAAGCCCCCCCCGCCAAATTCTTGTGCTGTGCCCGGTGACTAGTCAACTGTGGGTAGTCAATACTTTGGGACAGAGCTTAAGAGCAAACATGCATTTCTCAAAGTAATCAAGGCTCAAAGACCAAGAAGCAGCTATGCTGAAACTGGTTCTTTGATTAATGCTTTCCAAAACAAAGTTATAAGATCCTTTATCTCTTGACAGAAAAAAAAAAAGAAAATGTAAAGAAAAGAAAAACAGAAAAAAGAAAACTACAGATCGATATCGCTTAGTCTCAAAAGTCCTAACTGAAAGGTAAGGAAATAGAATTCAACAACACAGACGAGGAATTACACACCGTGATCAACTGAGATTTATTCCAGGGATGCAAGTCTGTTCTATGTCCAAAGATCAATCAACCTAACCAAAACATTAACAGGCTAAAGAAGAAGAAGAGCATTTGATCATATCCATCAATATTCAACATCAACCTATGATCAAAAAAAAAAAAACTTTCAGAAAAAGAGAAATAGAGGGGAACTTCTTCACTTAATAAAGAGCATCTGCTAAAAATCTGTAACATTGTACTTAATGGTGAAAGACCGAATGCTTTCCTCCTATGATCAGAAATGAAGCAAAGCTGCCCACACTCACCTCTCTTATTTAACAGAGCAATGGAACTTCTAGCCACTGTAATAAAGTAAGAAAAGAAAATGGATACAGTTTGGAATGGATGAGGTAAACTGCCCCTACTTAAGGATAAAATGATTGTCTACATAGATAATCCAAAGGAATAGACCAAAAAAACAAAACAAAACAAAAACAAAACAAAAAACTGAATAGGTGAGTTTAGCAAGGCTGCAGAATATAAGAAAAAATTTTTTATCAGTTATATTTTTATATGCTGGCAATGAAACTACATTTAAGAAATACTACTAACAATGGTTCAAAAAGCTGAAATACTTAAATGTAAATCTAAAAGAAACATATACAGAGGCACCTACGTGGCTGTCAGTTAAGCATCTGACTCTTGATTTCAGCTCAGGTCATGATCTTGGGTTATGAGATCAAGCCCTGCTTTGGGCTCTGTGCTCAGCAGGGAGTCTGCTTGAGATTCTCTCTCTCAGTTTCCCCCTACCGGACCCCCCTACACCCTCGCTAGCTCTCTCTCTCAAATAAATAAATAAATCTGAAACAAAAATATACAAGAATTATATGCTGAAACCTACAAAATACTGATAAAAAAAACAAAGATGATCTAAATAAATGGAATGGAAAGACATACCATATTTATATACTGGAAGATTCAACAAATAGTAAAGATTTCAATTCTCCAGAAATTGATATACAGGTTTACTGCAATTTGTATCAAAATCCTTGCACAATTTTTTTTGTAGCTATAGACAAAATTATTCTAAAATTATATGGAAAGACAAAGGAATTAGAATAGCTAGAACTTTGGGGGAGGAAAAGGAAAAGGTAGAAAAAACCCATATACTCCATTTACAGACTTATTATATAGTTAAATTTATTAAAACTATGTGGTTTTAGGTTAATGGAACAAAACAGAGAACCACAAAAAAGATGCATACAAATATGCACAACTGATTTTCGACAGAGGTGCAAAAACAATTCAATGGAGGAAAGATAATCTCTTCAACAGGTGGGCTATTAGAACTGGACATCCATAGGCAAAAATATGAACCTTGACCTAAGGCTCATGCCTTATATAAAAATTAACTCAAAATGGATCATGGACTTAAATGTAGAACATAAAATTGTAAACTTTTAGAAAAAAAGATAAAATCTTTGAGATATATGCTTAGACATGACACCAAAAGCATAATCCACAAAAGAAAAAAAAATGGCAAAGTGGACTTCATCAAAATTAAAAACTTTTGCTCTGCATAAGATCCCATTAAGAGAATGAAAAAATAAGCTACAGACTAGTACAAAAGATTCACAAATCACATATCCAACAAGGGACTAGTAGCTAAACTATATAAGGAACAAAATCTTTTTTTTAATTTTTCAGCTCTAAGGGCTGAGCCAGGCAGGTGCCCCTATGTAAGGAACTCTGAAAATTCTACAGTAAATAGTCTGGCAGTTCCTCAAAAGGTTATCATATAACCCAGCAATTGTACTCCCAGGGAATGAAAACCTACGTCCACTTGTACATGAATGTTCACAGCAGCACTATTCATAAAAGCCAAAGAGTGTAAACAATCTGAGTTGTCCATCAACTGATGAATAAATGTATAAATATATCACAATTTATCAAGTGATAAATCCTGATATATTCATACAATGGAATATTAATCAGCAATACAAGGAAATGAACTATTAGGTAAAAGAAGCCAGTCACATCTATGATTCCATTTACATGAAATGTCCCAAACGGACAAATCTATAAAGTACATTTGTGTACTTAGGTCTTGGGAGTGGGGGGAAATGGGGAATGATACTATGGGTACAGAATTTCTTTTATATACAATGAAATATTACTCAGCCATCAAAAATGAAATCTTGCCATTTGCAACGATGTGGATAGAACTAGAGGGTATTATGCAAAGTGAAATAAGTCAATCAGAGAAAGACAATTATATGATCTCACTGATATGTGAAATTTAAGAAACAAAACAGAGGATCACAGGGGAAGAGAGGAAAATATAAAACAAGATGAAACCAGAGAGGGAGACAAACCGTAAGAGATTCATGATCATAGGCAACAAACTGAGGGTTGCTGGAGTGGAGGGGGGTAGGGATGGGGTGATGGACATTAAGGAGGGCATGTGATGTAATGAGCACTGGGTATTATGTAAGACTGATGAATCACAGACCTGTATCTCTAAAACCAATAATACATTATATGTTAATTAATTGAATTTAAATTTTAAAAATGTTAAAAAAAAAAAGAAACCATATGTAGATTCACACACACACACACAAAAGAATTCCTTTTGGGGGTGATGAAAATGTTCAGAAATTGGTTGTGGTGAGGGTTGCACAACTCTGTGAATATGCTAAAAAAACAACAACAACCCTGATTTGTGAACTTTCAAGGGTGAATTTAATGGCATGTGAAGTATACTCAAAAATGCTACTTTTTAAAAGTTTGCCTTCTAACATTCCAAATGAACACAGCAACAATGCTACTTCTGCATACTCTCTTGGAACCTTTTCTACCATGCAGCTGAAGAAAAAAGGGGGAAAAAGA